TATGTCTGCTCTTCGAATGTTTAATGACCCTTTCCTCTGATGCATAAAAGTATAACGAGGGAGGGGTTGTTCTGGGAACGAGGTTGCATGCTTAATCGGACCAGTGTGCCAATAGATCGCTCCGCCATTAGGACGCGCAGCTTAGGACTTAACTAGTTGGCCAGTGTGTACGTGCGTGGAAGACAGCAATCCATCAACGGATTTGCCATCTACACGCATGCATGCAGGGGCTAGTTACGATCCCGCCACGTAGGAATGATGTGTGTGAGCGAGTCCCGTTGATCCGGATACGGCGATCGAAACTCCTTTTTGGATTACCGACTGCGAAAGCCTGAGAGATCCCGAGAACAAGACATATTGGGAAAGGGAACAGATCCGACGACAACAAGTCCGACAGCAACGGATCAGACGACAACAAAACTTGCGGAACCTTGCTTACCCCTGCTGAACTGAACACGAGCGACTGTGTAGGGGCGATTTCCAGTTGGCAATCAACCGGGACTCCCGAATTCCCGAGTATCCCGACAGTAGACACCAGCAATACTTTATCACCCCAGGCTTCGTCGCTATCACGACTAATTTCCCTCCCCATTACATCGTCGTCCCGTATCACCAATTGCTAGTTACCCCCTAGAACTCCATATCCTGATGCTGGCCCCGGCCTCCGTGCCCCGAGTGCCAGCAGCCCAACGAGTGCGAACAGACGGAGGCCACGTGTCAGACTCCTCCCTAGAGAGAACGATGAGAACCCAGCTCGTCCTCCTCATCAGACTCTGACTCTGAGTTCTGCGTCGGACGACAGAGGTACGAGCATTCCCACAGCGACGCCCGCAACACCCCGTTCGTAGACCCGGCTCTTTCCCGGCCCCGACCGCAGGAACGGCGCCCACCCCAACTCTGAGCTAGAGGAACCACTTGCACTTCTACCCCTGAAACTTGACACAGGAGATTCCAGTCCCGACCTGGAACTCCACCGCCACTTTCCAAAAATCCTTGGCACACCCCTTGTCGCACTTCCAGGCCCACTAACACTCCGAAACAGGAAGTCGCGCTGGGCGTGAGGTTGGGCGTCACAACACTGCAATACACACATGACTCAGGGTTGGCTATCCTCCTAGTATGTAGCATAGAGTTGAGGCTGGCATAGCAGTTCTTTAGTTCAGGATGTCAGGGGTGTCAGGAGATACTGCACCTTACCGCGGGGCCGGAACGGGCTCCAGGGATATACGAGGGAACGGAGGATCCCCAGCTCTCTGCCATAAAAAAACACAACAGTAGTAATACAACGTAACACTGTGCACCCTCATGAAGACCTGTAGTAGCATGTTCATACCTAGCTCCCGAAGTCCCCGTGCAATCGGGCTTGCACGGCGTCTGCTTCAACTAGGGCTGAGCAGGGGGGTTAGATCTCTCTGCCTAGCCCGGGTGCCTGCAACTGTTGTCTGGTCAGGTCACCCTGCCAACATGGCAATGGGTGATGGTCCCGGGTGGTTAACACTAGGGTAGGACAGGGGGGTTGGGGCCAGGGTAAAAATGATAAGAGGAAGGGTGGGTGGGGTCTTCAGAGGGATTCAGCTGGACAACCAAGTGACCGAGTGCTGTGGGTAACTGTCATTGGTCTAGTATCCCACCTCGACAACAACCTGGGCTTAAAAAAATAATAATAATAATAATAATAAATAAAAAAAGAAGGAGTAGCGGTAGGTAGGTAGTGTGAGGTGAAATTGAGAGAAGAATATAGCTTTTTTAAAAAAAATAGTGCGACTGATGATCTGCCCCTCCGTTTTGACTCAGAGGGCTCTCCCTTCCAGAGCCTTCAGCTGGAGGAATGTAAAGTTGATTTGAAACTAGACCAACATGGAGTAGCTCACCCTGTAGTGAAGTTTAGAGGTACCTCTCTTTCTGATCTTAAACTTGATCCCACGAGGTGGCAATCCCGATGCCTCTTTACACATCTAAAATTGGCGCAGGACTTCTCAGAGAACAGGCATCTAATAACCCCTTCAAGCTTCTGACCAAATACAGGCAAGAACAGGCACTGATCGCATATGGGAAAGAAGTACAGGTTAAGCATTGGCAACTTCTCAAGGTTTTACCCTCAGTTAAATTGGGGAGTTTGCTTTGGCATCAATCTATGCTGGTGATTGCCTCCGCTGCTTTCCTGGTTGGAAGAGGCATGGATGTTTCTGCAAGCTGTGCTTGATGTCAGTGGGCATGGGAGACCAACAGACATCTCTGGTTGGATTGCCCTTTCTCAAAATGAATCTGGACTTGGTGGCGCAGACACTGGTCAAAGCTTCCCTGGGCATCTTTTGATTGGTCGGACGAGTTCATCCTTGATGGTATCCTTCAACTGCCAATAGGGGTGACTCAGCAGCCTGCTACGTGGCTCAAACCTTCAGGGGCATTCTGATGTCAACCATCTGGGGATAAAAGAACTCACACGACTTTCGACAAGAACGATGTGTAAATGTGCAACTCAAGGCTACAATCCGAGCTACATGTCGACAATCCATTTGGGCAGATTGGTTCCGGAAGGCGAAGGGCGGTTCAGCCAGAAAGGGAACTGCCTGGTTCTGGAACACTTGGGGCACTAGACAGAGTCTGGTCAAGCCTGGGAGCAATGGTAGACCCGTACTCTCGCCTTGGTTAACTCAGAATCCAATATAAACTCTTCTTATTTCCCCGCACTGTAGCAAAACAAAGCAAAGTTGGGTATAACTCCCAGGGACACTAGTTGGAAGTCCTCCTTTTGGTTCCTGAGTCCTTTAGTTCATCTTCCTCAGTGTTTTGCCTGCAAATGGGACTCTGGGCCCGGTTCCCAGCTTGAGTTGATATAGGATTAGTTAAAACTGTAAAATTCTGTAGGTATAGGTTCTGCACGTACTCTAGTACAAGGGCTGTAACAAAAAGTTAACTCAGAAGTTATTAGCCCATAGATCTTGAATCCTGCCAGTAAGTCTAGCAGACCACGCAGTTCAGACAGCCTCTTGGCTGAGAGGTCTTACGGACAGGACTCAGTTACTTTTGCGTAGAGGTAGGGAATAGAAACCACTCTTCAACTTAGTTGATGTTCTGCATTGTTGCGATGTTGCCATGTTGCATTTCCAGGGGTTGGTCCCCTGCAGGGCTTCTCCCTGTAAGCAAAACTGGGTAACGCTCCCAGATGATTTTATTCCGGGTAGACTGTGAGGACCCCGGCCTCTGGTTTCTATGATTATTATTATTATTATTATTATTATTATTTTTTTTTTTTTTTTTTTTTTTTTTTTTTTTTTGGCCTCTGGTTTCTATGATAATATAAGCCTTTGGCACTGGGCCCGTGTTTTTAACAAAAAAAAAAAAAGAAAAAAAAAAAAGAAGAAGCAGAAGAAGAAGTTAACTGTACTATTCTATGGCACGTGGGGCGACGCCCCGGCTCTGTTCTGATCCGCACGTGGTTAACCGGTTTTTTTTTAAGGCCGAATTTTGCACTGAAACTGTAAGGTCAATCAACCTCGGCCGCGAAGGGGGGCGGAGAAGAACCTTGCCGCTGATCTCGCAGGCTCAGGGAGGGTTGGTTATGGCGGCGAGAAGGTTGCTGTCGCAAGCGTTGGCTATGGCGACGAAGCGGTAGCCGCTAAATTGACACGCGAACTCTCTACTTACCGCCCGTCATCGCTGACGGTCCCAAACGCCTCCGAGAGGAGCCGTTGCTGTTTGGTGCGATATCCAAATGTTCTGGCGATATTTTCTTTCGTCTTCTCGTTGTGTTATGCTTTCTTGCTTTCCATCGACGGGCGTGTCTAACTCGACTCTCGGACATATCACGTCGGCATGATAGGAAATCAGTCGCGTCGATTCGATTCGATTCTTTGATTCAACGGTTCTAGTGCACGGCATCGGTGAAAACTAATGCTAGGAGAGAGGACAGAAGGTCAATAGAGAAGACTGTTGCCTTTCTTTCCCTTCTGTTCAAAGGGCGACAGCCTTGTGATTTGATCATTGAACTGTCAGGCCCCACGTCATTCAGAATTATCTCATTCTGATCAACAGTTCATGGGTGTACCCACTGAGCTAGGCCTGTTGGTCGTCACTTGGGCTTTGTTTTTCTTTCGAGTCTCATTTTTCGGCTTAGGGTTTGTGCACACTGGGGCCTGTGTCCTTGTCATTGCGGTAATGAACTGTTTGTTTGCGTCTGCTACCTCGGCTGGGTCTGGCTGTAGTCGAGACGACTCTGAAATCTAGATGTCGATTGAATGACGCAATTCGATGGTGATGCGGGGCGGGAAGAGGATAGAGGGGCGCCGGCAAGAGGGATAGATCCAATCCTGTCAACAGTGTCAAGCAGGGGCAGGATCATCAAAACGGGATGTTACCTGATTGAACTCACGTCCGCCGGCGAGGGTGATTTGGAGGTGGTGATTGAGAGGATCTGTGACTACAAATTTCGCGGGAGACATTTCTGCAATTTAAGTTTTCGGCCTCGCTTTCTCTGAACGCGCGTTGTTTTTTGCAAGGGGGGAAACTGAAATTGCACTTTCCTCAGCACATCCTAATTTTCTATCACTAGTCACC